GTAGAAGTTCGGAAAAGTCAGCAATTAGGTGAGTGAACAGATGACTGTTTGTTTTCATGGAAATAGAGTAAAGCAATCTGTATCTCTTTCATCCTTTGCTCCTCTGATCTGTAAAACTTGAACATCCCAGGGCACATTCATGAGATCTTGGAGCCAGACCTACAAATCTGTCAAGTGAGGCAGCCCCAGCCTCTCTTGTTTATTACCCAAAGGAGGGAAGATTAACATCATATGTATAGAGCGCTCAATAGTTTATGAAATGCCCTTAGCAATTCACTGAGCAAGGAAGGAGCTTTTTCCATCTGCACAGAGGGATACCAAGGCTCAGAGGGCTTGGGAGACTAACCTACACTCACACAGCTGACAAGGAGCATGTGGGGAGTTGGGCCCCTGCTGCTGGCCCTAGGTCTTGTGCTTCACCCTCTCCACCAGAAGCTACCTGGGAGGCCACAGAATCACTCCTACCTGGCCACAGGTGGACTGGGCAATCCCTTCCCCTTAATTAAACTTCCAGTGGCTGCTGTGTTCAGTGTATGTTTCTCTAATGCCAATTCCACTAGAATATTCAAGGAAACCCAACCTAATTTGACAAGGCCATTCCTGTAACAGATGCCAGGGGCACTGTGGCTGCCCAAGGTCTCCCCGTCTCTGTGTTCCCAGGCCTGGAGCAGACCTGGCTGAGGGAAAGTATGCCTGGGAGGTATATCCCCTCACAGCCACTCACCAGAATGACGAGCCTCTGTTCCACTCTACAGATTCCACAGGCATGTTCTGCTTTAAGCCTGTTTGGTAACCAAGAGAATTATTATCCCCATTTAACAGAGAGAGAGAAGACTGAGGTTCATAAAGACAGAGTTGGCTTGAGTTTTGGAAGGAGAATAAGCAAGTTGAAGTTCTTGGTGCCATTTACAAGTTATGGGAGTTTAGGCAAGTTACTGAATTTCTCTGCTCCTTAATTTTCCATGTAAAAGATGGGGCTATCATACTAACATTTCAAATTATTTCAGGGTTTTTAAAAGATGGCATATATAAAGCACTAAACATAAAGTAAGCATTTAATGAGTGATGATCATAAGTTATTCTACCTACTAACTCTGTTATCTTTGTAAATTATTTAATTGTAATTTTTTAAGAAAAGAACCCCCCTCATGGGGATGCCATAAGAACTTGATAAGACAACTCCCATAAAGCACCTATGCTAGTGCCTGCACAAAGTAGATGCTCAATAAATGCTAGCTATGCATTGCCATCCCCAGCGGCAGAGCCAGAAAACAGCTTTGACCAAGTTCCTCTGGCTCTAATCCTGCAGCCCCTGGGTGAGGTTGAAAATTGTGAGGAAACGGAGAAATCATCAATGGTGGCCTCGCTGGCATGGGCAGTAATAAACCACTCCAGACATGACAGTTTTTCTATACCTAAAACAAGGGATAGATGTTGCACCTTTATCCATGTGGATAGGTGAGGCAGAGCAAGAGGGCATAGGTCACAAAGGTGATGGGCAGGAATAAACCACTCCAGACATGACAGTTTTTCTATACTTAAAACAAGGGATAGATGTTGCACCTTTATCCATGTGGATAGGTGAGGCAGAGCAAGAGGGCATAGGTCACAAAGGTGGTCATGACCTCATTGCAACTTCATGCTGGGGTCCAGCCCCAGCAGATCCAGGGGTCCCCAAAGGTGTGGACGGAGGAGACTTATTGGGCATCATCCTAGAAGTAGGTCTTATAGGGTCTGGGAAGAAAGTCTGCAGCCTTTCCCAGTCCCTGCCTCTCGTCTCTTTTTCCTTAGACACTGCTGCTCTCCTTTTCCAGGAAATCCAGGACAGGATTTGGGTTGCCTCCCACCATCCTCTTCCCAGAATTCTGGGAGAATGCCTGGGAGAAGGCGACTCCCCTGCGTGTGACAGAGGGATGATTCAGAGTCGGATGCTGGTAATAAGCATTGCTCTGTGGTCTGGCCGTGGAGTCCAGGGCCCAGGAAGTGCATCTGGATAGCATCAGAATCACAAATGGAGGAGATCTTGGAAGGACTCAGCCCCAGCAGGCACCCACAAAGCAGGAATATGTAGGGAACCAGACAGGAGGAGGGGGTGATGCTCTTCAAAGTTAATGAGCTTGTATGAATGATTTTTTTTTATATTTCTCTACACAGCTAGAGAAAAGAGAGAGGTAGGATACCAAGAAAGAGACCAAGGAAATTTCTTAAGTAGAGCATTTTCTATAGGTGATGGCCAGAACAGTGCCATCAAGAGCTATATAAAATCAGTTGGAAACAACTGGATAATGTTATCAGTCGTTATTGCAGTGTGGTTTCTATAAGCCCATAACACACATCTTATTGCCCTCTCAATTCATATTCAGAGCACTCAGGAGAAATCATGTTTTTCTTATTGTTGCCTCTTGGTTCATTAAAACCCGTATTTCATAGAATGAAGCTAGTTATATCACCTGAGAGAGGCAACACTTACAAAAAAATCTGAATAAAACAACACCACAAAATGTAAACAATAAATTGCTTGTAAAAGCATAAAATATTATGGTGCGCATTGTATATGAAACATGGCTGTATCCTAGTTCCTAGGACAGGGTCTGGAATGTATAATAATATTTATTTTATCAATTTATAAGAATTAGATTTATAGCATTTCCTCTTTTTTTATCACCATTTACCCACTCTGTATCCTCTTCCACCTCCACACACACACACCCCACAATCACCACACTGTTGTCCATATCCATGAGTTCTCTCTCTTTTTTCTTTCTTTTTTGTTCAATCCCTCCACCCCTCAAACACCCTACCATCACCAGAGCTGTCTTGCCTGCTCTCATTTCTTAATATATTTTGCAAGATTTATTTCAAATCACTTATGTATAAAATCCATTTTTCCACTGAATTTCTTTCCTTTCTCTCTTATTTTGTAATCATTTTTGCTCAATGGAACCTTGTCGTCTTTCAATGTTGTTTATTTGACAAAAACTATGTTAGTGCTAATGACATTCTCCATGTCATCAACACACAGAAAGGTATCTTCTCGCCACAGCTGGGGCAAATATGCTGTTCTGTTCTCTTCCTGGTTTGTATTTTGTGATTTGTTTTTTTCTCTGTTTAGTTCTTTGAACCATTTGGAATGTTTTCAATGTATAAAGATGAAGGATAGTTCTATGGTCTCAATACATTTCTTACACTAAAATTACTTTCGACATTGTGGTTTTGTTTCCCATTTTTCATTTTCTGTATTCTGCTGGTGAGAATCACTTTCTCAAAATCTAGTCTATCCCATGGGTCATTTTTCAAAGCACAAATGTTGAGTAATGCCATTGGTTTATTTTCAGTTTGCAATATATTTTTTAATCTTTTAGTTAGGGAACTCTACTACCATTACTTTCAAGCATTTCCTTCATCATCATCTTTATTAATATTATTTGTGCATCCTCTCCATTTCCCTCCCAGATGGCTTTCACTACCAGTTGACCACATTTTGCTAACTACTTCATTAAATTATTATAATGTAGAAAGCAGAGTCATTATTTTATTTTTAAAGGTTTCCAGCAACTAGAGAGATCAGCTTTCCATTTCTTCCTGCATCTTCATCCTACTAAGGTTTCATAATTTTCCCTGAACAAACTTCTTATGTGGTAGATTAAATTAATTCTCATGTATTTAAAGGTTTTCCTGTCATTATTGCAACTAATTTACTATGTATGCCAAGAAATCATAATGATGAAAATGATTTTTCAATTCATGTGTAGTCTCTAACTGTTAGACTAATTTCAGTGTATTTTCCCAGTAGAGTAATTCTTGACATTTATGACTGAATGGTCACGGTTTCAATAACTTGCAAGAGACTCCAAAAGGCCATGATATGTTATTATTTAACATTTTGCTGGAACTCAAAATTGAATCACTCCCCCTGCAAGGTTACTGTGTAAGAGAAAGTCACATTGCTAAGGGGAGTAGCCAGCCACCCCGCATAAGGGTAATGCTGGGTATTATATATCTTCCATCCTTCCCTTGGAGAGCCTCCATGAACATTTACACATTAAAGCCTTGAGAAGTCTTGCAAAAAAATAAATTTGTTTCATTTTGCTTAATTCGATGTTTCTCAAACTTATTTGAGAACATTTTTCTCACAGCACACAGAATACCATGAGACACCAGTTTGAGAAACAATGGTTTGAGAAACAATCATTATAGAATAATTATGGATTAAAAGTTATCTAAAAGATTTCTGCCTTCACTTAACCTCACTTTTACAGAAGACTTATATGCAATGATAATGTTCTTGAGTTGGGGACCTCAGAAGTTTTTGAGACTTATCTTGCACAAGAATATATTCAAGTCATCTGCAAATGTGACATTTTTCTTTCTTTAGTTCCCATTTTTGTGCAATTGTTTTCCTTGCTGCATAACTATTTCAATTTTATACTTTGCCATTTTATTTTACTTGATTTATTCATTTAGCAAACACATCTGTAGTGTTCACTGTATACTGTTTTGAGTGCTTTATTAATAATCTAAAACAACCTCATGAGCTTGATGCCATTATTATTATCCCAATTTTACAGGTCAGAAAACTGTAGTTTCCAATGATGATGAGGCGTTCCTCCTAGATCTTATTTTTTAAGGAAACTGCCACATTTTCCTTTAGTCATATTATTTTTTCTAATTGTAAATATAAACTGTATATAATGCAAAGGAAAAAAATCTCCATTCTTTTTTATTTGTTTTTTAAGTGTCTTTAGTTAACATTAAATGTAGAAATATGCTATTACCTTTCTTAGCCTCTATTGAGATAATTATGTTTTCTACCATTTTTCATTTATTATTAAAAAGGTATCATGCTAGCTTTGCTTTCCTTGATTATACTGGATTACTTGTTCTAATGTGTGGCTGTGTTTTCTGCATAAAGATTAAGATTTTATTTCTAAGCTCATAAATGAGTTAACAGCCATCATCCCCTTCTTTAAGGTGGGGGGGGGGCAATCATATTTACCTCAACCAATGCAATGTATAAGTATTAATTGAGTAGCTCCCCTGTTATTGTGTGTTAGACTCTTTAGAACATGAAAGATTCAATGAGCAGAATATGAGAGAGGACAGAATATGGGAAGGGAAGCAGACCTTCTGTGGCCATACAGGAAAAAGAGAAGTCAACGATCCTGAGAACTTTATAAAACCCAGATCTGTACAACTGAGCATCCACTTTCCGTTACTCCGTTTTAGTTTCCCTCAAAGACCTAAGATATTACTTAAATAGAAGAGGCCCCAGATCAACTAAGTGAACACACAGGGCAAAAAAAAAATCTAGCTAAGCACCAGCCATACAGTAAGTGCTCAATAAATAGTTATTTTTAAAATGACATGAGCCAGCTCTTTGACCAAACCAACTAGTCAAGTTGGTTATCAAAATGCAGGGCAGCTAGAGACTTGTTCAATGGGTCATTAAGACGAAAAGTGCTGCAAAGACTTCACCCTCATCTGACATCAGCCTGGGTGGGAGGGACTGGAAGCTTGGAGAGATGGGAGCAGGTCAGCAGACAGTCCCGGCGGGCTGAAGAAAAAGAACAGGACTGCAAGGTGTTCTGGCAGCTCCCACTGCCCTACAGACAGAACTGAGTGTCTCTATAGCTCCAGGCATCTGGACCTGGCAGTTGACCCTTTGCCTCCCAAAAGCCCTCAGAGCTTGTGGCGTCAGGACTTAGTGACAATTAAGGAACCAAGAAAAAGTTTCACCTCCTATAGTTGTACCTGACAAGCCCTGAGCCAGTCCAGTCACCTGCTACCTGGTGACCAAAATATATTCGAACTCAGGGAAGCAGATGCTATCTGGGGACTGAATAGCTATACCCCATCAAGTGAGCCAACTTGTCACATCCACTTCCCTTTTTTCTTTCCATCTTTATTCATGTCTTCATAGCCTCCCCCATTTTCTCCACCTGCCCTCCACCGCCCACTAAGTCCCATTCTCCATTCCAAGTCCTCTTTACTGTCCCTTCTGGATCTGAAGTCCCGAAACTCCCCCTCCTCTATCTCAGATTCCGCTGGGCCCTTTGCCCTCTCTCCCTGCCTGCTCCTCCCCGCTGCCCCTGTCCTGTTCTGTCAGCTCCCCCCCCCCAGCCCCTTGTCCCCCTTGCCCTAGGATCTGTGGGTGGCTGTGAATTCTACAACTGCTTCTTTCTGTCTCATCTTGGTGGGGTCCATAGACAGCGCTCCTGTTGCTCAGAGATGTGGAGGCAGTTGCTAAGAGACAGTGAAACGTCAGTACCTGGCCCTCGAGGAAAAAAAGGGGAGTGAAAAAGGAAGAGAGGAGGGGGAGAGAGGGAGGGAAAGGAAGGGAGGGAAAGACCTGACGGCAGCCACAAACCCCAGCAGCCTCAGCACCAAGCTGAGTTTCTGGAAGAAGCATTCGGATTCTGTGAACTTTCTTCTCAGCATCCTCCCTCGGATTCCCTTTTTGGGTGAAAGAAGGGGACCAGCTCGGGGACCACAGGACAGGAAACCACCGAGGATGCAGCCCCGGCAGCCAGGAGCCATGGAGGAGAGGCCGGGGGAGGGGACTAGCCGAGGAGGCAATCTGTTCTCCTGAAGCCGCAAGCAGGGATTCCAGCATGAGGGAGGGAGCCCCTGTCTGCCGCAGATTGATGGCTGTGTCCTTGGAACAGAGTAAGTGGGCTCCTGGTGGCCTGTGGGAGTGCAGGTGGAGACTTTGGGGCTCAGGAAAATGAGTCTGGATCAAGGGGAGCTGGGGTGACTTCCCAGTGGGTGGGATTTAGGCAGGAATCAGTGTGAAGAGAAGCAGTGTCAGAGGAGGGGATGCGGGGAGGACAAGTGAGGACAGCTGGTGGGCACCGGAGAATCCAGGGGCTCGGAGGCTAGCGGCAGAGTGGATGGCAGGGTGAGCCACCCACCGAGGGTGGCATCGTGCTCTGTCCCTCTGCCTGGCCAAGTGTGGGTGTGGGCTCAAGCTGGGGGGCTAAGGGGAGAGTGGAGTGTTTGTGGGAAAGGATGCTGAGATTAGGGGTGTGCACTGGGGGTGAAAGATGGTGGGGACAGACTGGGAGGGGCAGAGTGCATGTTCAGAAGGAAGCTGGAGAGAAAACTGGGGAGGCATGAGCGCAGGGCAGGGCAAATGTGCTGGAGTCACAGGAGTGGAACAACGTGTGTGTGTGTGTGTGTGTGTGTGTGTGTGTGTGTGTGTGTGTGTGTGTGTGTGACAGAGAGAGAGAGACAGAGAGACAGAGAAAGAAAAAGAGAGCTAAGAGGACTAAAAGAGGTCTGCAATCCTCCAGAGTGTGTGTGCCTTTTTTCTTTGAGAGTTGTGCAAGGGTGGGGTATTTGGTGCTGGTGGAGGTGGGGCTATGAGCATGAGAAAATGCATCCAGCGCAGGACAGACACTTAGGAGGATGGCTGAAGGAAGGGGCCCGCAAGGTTAGTGAGTAACAACCGTGTGAGGTTGCGGTCTGAGCCCACCATGGCCTCACCTGAGACACAGACAGTATACAGAGAACTTTGAGCAAAGGGGGGAGGAGGGGGCACTGAGCCTAGGAGAGGGGCCACGGGGAGAAGAGGGCACCGTTCCTCTGCCTGAGTGCTTTCCTTGTTGCCAGAAGGAATTCTGCCTCCACCCGCTGAACACAGAGCCGCCTAAGGGAAGCACCAACTTGGGAAGTTGCCAGAGCTCCTAGTTGCCCCCTCCTGCACCTTCAGGACACATGACTCTTTCCAGGCTCAGCAGTGCAAACAATGGGTGGCACTTGGGGTCTTCCCCTCCCCGGGGATTACCATAGACACTGAGGCCGAGGACTCCGGCTTTCGGGAGGCCCATGGAGATCCACTTCACTCCGGGCTCCCTGCCCAAAGCACCCACCCATGGACCCCCTTGGACTCGAGTCCACTGGGCCACCAATAGAATCCCCTCTGAGACCTTGAATGCTGGAGACCCCGACACAGCTCTGGCATCCTGATCATCAATCCCAGACTTGGGGCAGGGCCGGGGACTTTTAGGCGTTCTGGGACCTTTAAAAAGCCCCTTTCGTGTCCTTAGCTCCCCCCTCCCACCTCTCAGACACAGCACGAAGAGGAAGCTCCCAGCAGTCATGGGTGCGAGGGACACAAAAAATCTGCAGGGACCCTTCCACGACCTGCTGGCAGCTGGTCCAGCCCCATCCTCGCCTCCTTCCTTTCTCAAGTTTTGATCATCTCTGCAGACCCTGGGGGACCTCAAACGGGTTGCTTGCCCCCTAGACTCCAGAGGGGACTTCCTGTGGCTCTCACCTAGGGAGCCCTCTGGCATTCAGAGGCTCCCAGGGAAGGCTTGAGTCATGACACCCCTGCTCAGAAGCCCCACCCTCCAGGGCTCTAGGCCCCGATGTCGCTGCCTTCCTGTGCCACTGACTCTTGATTCTATGGACACAGCCCCAGCCCCTGTGGGCTCCGTTCAGCACTGCCGTTGCCAGCTGCCTAAGATGGGTGATACCTGGTCCCAGCTACCCTGGCCTGGGCCCCCCAACCCAGCCATGTTCCTGGTCTCCCTCCTCTTGGCAGCTGGGGTGATGCACTCGGACGCGGGCACCAGCTGCCCCGTCCTTTGCACATGCCATAACCAGGTGGTGGATTGCAGCAGCCAACGGCTATTCTCCGTGCCCCCAGACCTGCCAATGGACATGCGCAACCTCAGCCTGGCCCACAACCGCATCGCCACTGTGCCGCCGGGCTACCTCACGTGCTACATGGAGCTCAGGGTGTTGAATTTACGCAACAACTCCTTGATCGAGCTGCCCCCAGGCCTCTTCCTCCATGCCAAGCGCTTGGCATACCTGGATCTGAGCTACAACAACCTCAGCCACGTGCCAGCCGACATGTTCCAGGAAGCCCATGGCCTGGTGCACATCGACCTGAGCCACAACCCGTGGTTGCGCAGGGTGCACCCGCAGGCCTTCCAGGGCCTGATGCAGCTCCGAGACCTGGACCTCAGCTATGGGGGTCTGGCCTTCCTCAGCCTCGAGGCTCTGGAAGGCTTGCCAGGGCTGGTGACCCTGCAGATCAGCGGCAACCCCTGGGTGTGCGGCTGCACCATGGAGCCCCTGCTGAAGTGGCTGCGAAACCGGATCCAGCGCTGTACCTCAGGTAAGGGAGGGGGCAGGACTGGGGGTCTGGGGAAAGGAGGGTTCTGGCCTCACTGAAAGGAAAGACTCCAAAGAAGAGAGGACTTAGAGATCTTGAGCCCCTACGGTGTGCCCTGATTTATGCTCGCGTCTCTGTACCCAGCTCTTTTGCTCCACAAGTGTTTGTAGAGTCCTTGCTTTGTAGAGTAGGTGCTGGAAATTCATTCATTAACATAACAGACACTGCCCTTGCCTCTGTGGCACTTATGACCTAATGAGGCAGACAGACAATAAACAAGAAGAGCTCATAATAGACAGTGTTTATTGAGCTTTCACCATGACCAAGAACTTGGCATGCATGGTCCCACTCTTAGCACCCCCATTTTGCAGGTGAAGAAACTGAGGTTTAGAACCATGAAAAGAGTAGCCCAGAATCACTCAATAACAAACTGGCAGAGCCATGGATAAAGCTCAAGTGTATTTGACTTCAAAGTCCTGTTCTACTCTTCAAGACTGCTTCTTAAGTGTTCTGAGTGCTGGCAGTCTCCCAGAGATAGAAATGGCTAACGCTATTTATTTTTGTACTTATGGCCGTGCTCTATTCCAAGCATATTATATATTTTAGCTCATCTCATCCTCACCTTAATGAGCCATCCCCACTCTACAGAGGGTGAAACTGAGGCACAGAGAGGTTCAGTAACTTGCCTGAAGTTACAACTCTGCTAAGTGTTTGAAGTCAGAAATCAACCCTTGCAGTCTGGCTGCCTCTGGCTGTACCCCGAAGAGTCCATTCTAGGCTGGCAGGAGAGTCGGGGCATGAGTTCTGGCCTAAGTTCTGGGCCAAAGGGTCTCAGCAGAGTTCCACAAGATTTGAGCATGAGATGGAGAGTTGAGAGGAGAAACTAGGATATGACGATTTAACCAGACAATTCCAACCAGGGGTGGATTGGGGACTGAAGGAGCCTGAATCATGAAGGTTTGATGGGCCCTGGACTCACCCACTGGTGTCCAAACCTGGCCTGGAGGCAGGCAATATTCAGTCGTGGCCCCCGTCACCAGCTCTCCTGCATGGCAGCACTCAGCTTTGGCATGAGCCCCAGCAGTAAAATAACAGGAATAGCTGAGGGCACTATCCCAGGGGATGTCCCAGAGCCTGGGCTCACAGTGTGTTCAGAAGTGATGATGAATGAGGTAGGAGGGAGAGGAGGACTGAGTGGGGAGTCCGGGACCAAAATAGCTTGGGGGAGCTGTGGGTCACGATTCCCATGTTTCCACAGAGCTGTGGGAGGATGTTCTCTGGGACCAAAATAGCTGGGGACTGAGATAGGGCGATGGTAGGGGGGTTGGGGAGGAGGCTGCCTGGAGCGATCCCCCCACCTGTTCAACCTTTGGAGCTGCATCTGCTCCCCTCTCTCCTGTGCACTAGAAACCGAGGGGGCACTCTAGGCGCTAAGCTTCCACCACACCTGGGCTCCTCCTTTTTTGGAATCTCTTAGATTCCTGCTACCCTTCAGAAAAAGCTCAAGTTCCAAACGAGTAGGAGAGGGATCCAAGATCCCATCACCAAGGCCTCATGTCAGTACAGATGAGGGACTCAAGTTCCAGAAGGGAAAGTGACTGTCTGCAAACCAACAGTGAGAACACAAGTATACCACAGCTAGAAACCCATGTTCCCCGTTCCTCCACAGAACACACTTTGTACCACACCACACTCCAGGATACTTCCTCTTGGGGGTGAAGAACTTACCAGTGTAGGTAGGATTAGGCAATCCTCTGCCCTCTGTCTTTTTTGGTTTCTTCTCCCTTTTTCATGGGACTCTAAATACTATCCACAACTTTTAGACAAATCCCAACACAGAGAAACATAAGGGTGCCTTTGGGATATAACTTAACTTCAAGATTGGTCCTTTGACTTGCCAGAGTTTTGTCAGCCCCAGAATTTCATCCTGCACTCCTGCAGGGCCCAGCCACATGACCTTGGAGCCTCCTTTGGTTGGTCCACACCAATTACCCTCACTGTCTCCACACTCCTCAGCTTTGTATTGTCTCACCAAACCCAGGCACACAGTAGACTTGGGAGTTCAGCATCTTCCAGTTCCAAAAGATGAGCCTCTTGATGGTCAACTCCAGATACAGTCTTGTCCTGGGCAGGGTCTAGAGTACTTTGCATTCAGTATACAGGGACCCACCTCAACCTGAGGTTGGGGACAGATTGAATTCTTTTTTCTGAACCTGGCTCCCCATTTCTAAGGATAATGATGCTCATCCATTTCCCCAAAGGGTCAATCCAAAACCACGATTTTATTTTTTGGCCCCAAAATCTACAGAATGAGTAAAAAGCATTTTGCACCATATAATTTAGAAAAATCCTTCACATCTTCACAATGACTCTCCTAGACAATAGGTTAGACTATCTCCTTTTTATGTGTCCCCTTTCTTCATGAAAGCCAGAAAGGAAAAAAAAAACTTGTCCAAGATGAGAACTTAATTAATTTGAACAAAGGAATGGCAAACTGCTACCTACTCCTAAGGCAGAGTACAATGGAACCATTGACAGTCATCAAGCATTTGTACATGTGACCCTGGAAGGACTTGTACATGTGACTCTGGACCATCAATGATGGAGAGAATGGTAAACCAATGAAGGAGAAGCCCCCTCTGACCTGTCCAAAAGGACCAAAATAGGGTAATAATAAAAGCACACATTACACAATACTTACTATATACCAAGAACATACCATTTATATGTTAACTCATAGACTCCTCATAACAACCCTATGAGGTAGATACTACTATTATCCTCATTTTACAGATGAAGAAGCCAAGACACAGAGGAGCTAAATGGCTTAGCCTCAATCACACAACTTGGGAGAGATAGAGAGGGTATTTGAACCCAGGCCAATGGCTCCAGAGCCCACACTCTTAACCCTACACTTTGTGTACCTGGAAAAGCCACACAGGGTAGTAGAAAGACCCAATGCTTCGGAGTTGGACAGAATCATTTATTCACATACTCATTTAACAAAGATTCGCTGAGCACTTACATGGACAGGACAGGGTTCTGACGCTAACGATACTATGGGAAATGCTTATATTCAAGGTAGAGGAGATAGATAATAAACAAGCTGTCAGTGTTAAACACTATCGAGAAAAATTAGGCAGAGTAGCTAAGACAGGAAATGCCTAGAAAAGACGACCTAGGGAATACTCTTTTACAGAGTATCATAAGGGAAGTCCAATAAGGTGATATTTGAGCAAAGTCTCAAAGGACATGAGGAATTGAGCTGTGCAGAGATGCAGAAGAGAGCCATCATCACCAGGGGACAAATGCAAAGGCACCCCCTCCCTACCCAAGAGGGGACAAGCTCGGGTGTGGAATAATGACCAGGAAGTTTGAGTGGATGAAACAGAGTAAGCAAGGAGTAGAGTGGAAGCAATGGGGAGAAGTCTTTGCAGCCCCTGATGAGGACCTTGGCTTTCAGTCTGTGTGAAGATAAGAAGCAGAGAGTGACATGACAGGACTTCAGGTTTGAATGGATCACTCAGCCACTGTGATGCGATGGTTTAAGGGAAGAAGCCCAGAGATCAGTTGGAAGGCTTATATAAGAGACAATGGTAGCCCACAAAAGCCCCAGTTCTATTATTAATAGTGGCTATTGGACTTCAGACAAGTTACTAAATTCTCCTAACAGTGATCGCCACTTCTATAAAAATGGGTATAAAAATATTTGCCTTGAAAGGGCTGTTGAGGGGACTAAAGAAGGTAAGTAAAAATTTTGGTACAAAAGAAACTAAACTGCTCTTGGGTAGGGTGGGTGCTCTCCATTCCATTCTGTCTCCTCAGGCCTTTCACCCTCTCTGGGTTCTGTGTTGCAGATTCTCAGCTGGCTGAGTGCCGGGGCCCCCCTGAAGTTGAGGGTGCCCCACTCTTCTCCCTCACTGAAGAGAGCTTCAAGGCTTGTCACCTGACCTTGACCCTGGATGATTATCTCTTCATCGCATTCGTGGGCTTCGTAGTATCCATCGCATCTGTGGCCACCAACTTCCTCCTGGGCATCACAGCCAACTGCTGCCACCGTTGGAGCAAAGCCAGTGAAGAGGAAGAGATTTGATGTGGGTGCCTGGCATCCTCTCCATGCTGCTGACCACCACTGCCGTTCATACCGGACACTCTTCCTGGCTGCCCACTCTAGCCCCATGGTGCCCTGGCCACCTCTGTCATAGCTCAAGCAATGTCAGGAAACTACTTTTGAATAAGCTTCTACTGTGGGCCAGGCACTGTGCTAGGAACTGGCAGTGTTAGATGAAGGCACCTAGTTCCTGCCCTCAAGGCACTTCCCTCTGCTAGAGGAGAAAGAATCAGAAAATATTCCCTTTAAGACAATCTGTTGGCATTCTGAGTACATAGCTATGGAAGCCCATAGGAGGGGTTATCAACTGTGCTTTAAAAAGTTCAAGAGAAGAATAAGAGTAGAGGTGATTTGTGAGCTGGGTCATCAAAACTGTCTGCTTTGTCAAGTAGACCAAGAAGGGTGTACATACACAAATGATAGAGGCCAGAATATGTGTGGTACATTGAGAACCATGGTGAACAATCCCTGGGACCTCAGTGTACAGAAGGAAAGTGGCACAGGACCAAAACTTTCCCTCTGACACCCACCTGTCATTGCTCAGAGCTGCCTACCATTGCCTCCAGAGGGTGAGAGCTTTCCATTCCATTGGAGAGCTCACCAATGCCAAGCCCCTTGGCTGCCTCCTACCAGCAGTAACAGGTGAGACCACCTCCCAGTGACTGCCCCCCACACTAGATCACCAGTTGTAGCCTGCTGGCAAGGTCCCAGGTAGCAAGCTGAGGACACCTTCAGTGCCCTTTCTCCCACCTCTATCTTCTGCCTCTCACTCCAACTTTGGCTTCAGAAGAAAGAAGCAAGAGGCCCAGGAAAGAACAGCTTGAGTCCTGGCACTCGGACTCCTAATCTCGTAACTATTCTTGCCGCAGTGCTCATGCCAAGGAATGTCACCAGGAAAGTGCACTGTGGGCTGCATCCCTGTAGCATGATAGTACAGGACTGAAGGAGGATTTCCTCTTCCTTCTAAACAACTCACTCACTTAAGCATAAAGGTGAGAGAGCTATTACCAAACACTTGCCAGTGTCGGACACTGTGATAAACGCTCTCCACAATTTCCTTTAATGCACACAACAATCTTCTGAGGTGAGCATTAAAGTTCCCATTTTACAGATGGGCAAGTAAGGCCCAGAGAGGTCAAGGTTATGTGATTCTTATGAGCAAAGTAAGTCTGTGCTCTTTCAACTACCCCAGTCAAGTAAGAAAACATCACAATTCCCTTCAAAAGTATATAACTTCAAAGTCAAGTAGTGCTGATGAAGCTCCTAATAAGAGCCAGCACTCCTCTGGGCACTATTACATCTATTGATTCATTTATATTAGTTCTCGCAGCAGCATTGCCTGGTGGCTTTTATTATTCCCATTTTACAGATGTATTCATTGCTGAAAGCTGAATATCTTACCCAAGGTTATCCAGATAAACTCTAGAAGGAAGGTGTTAGATAACTCTAGTCAGGGAAACTGTGTCTAATCAGTCCGTCAAAAATCAAGTATCTTCATGTATAAAGCACAATTATCATCATTGTCGTCATCTTCATTATCAGTGTCATCAGCTTCATCATCATCTTCTCTACATTTGTTCAGCACTGGACAGTTCCTGAAGTGCTTTGGCATTATTCTTCCTAACTCCACAACCTGTGTGGCAGGCAAGCCATCATTTCTCCTATTTTACAGATTTTTAAAAAAATAGAGACTCAAGAGCGGGTGTGACTTGCCTAAACGGCAAGGTTGAGACTCAACTCCAACTCGGCTCTCTTTCCAGTAGTGCCCCAGGTGCTTGGGAAGAGAATGCCTGGGAGGCTGGGTAGTGGGGCCCTAGGACTCAGCAGCCATGAACATCCTAGTAGATCAGCTATATAAAGGACAGTAAAAACCTAGCTGCTGTACAGATTTAGATATGCTCATGGTAGGGCAAATCACAGCCTCTGAAACTTAGAAGCAGCACAGGCAACACCTGAATAAGAGTCACCTGCCTTGCAATGTACAAATAATGCATTAGAAATGGTAGCCATCTATGAAATAAGACCTTTGGGAAACAGGAGAGAAAGCTGTGTTAACCCCTTCTATTTAAGCCCTACTGTGTTGTGTTGCAAGAGATACAAAGGGTGTCAGAAGGTGTGGGTAAGAACCTCTGCATGATAGGGGAAGACTTTAAGGCACAGTCCAACATGTTGCCAACACTGGCCAGGATATAAATTAAAACAGGGGCTTCCTACCTTGCCCCCAACTCCAGCAGGCTTGCATCATCCCATCTTCCTGGCAGGCTTGAAGGAATGAAAGAGAAACATATCACCTTCCAAGAATTCTTACTGATGCTCCCTGAGCTAGTCAACCCAAAAGAGTACCCAGAACTTTGCTAGACCTGAGGTACTTGAACCTTGTGTGTCCTGAATCTCGCTTATAACATCTGGGCCAGAGCCCTGCTCTTGTGATATCTGGAGCAGAACTGTGCCCTATCTCTTCTTCCTCTATGTCCAGGACAGGTGGATTGGGGCTGCCCTCCACTAGTCAATCTCACAGTCTAAGGTATTTGGAAAGGTTCTTGTAGAAATAATAGTCCTGATACAAATAGTTAAGCCTCCCATAGAAGAACATCATATGCATCTACGATAATCTCCTAGACACTCTTGTTTGCTAAAATATAGTTAATATATTTTAAGATATGTACTTGTTTTTTGCATAGAACTAGAACCAAACAAGACACCAAATGATCCTTGAGATCAAATGTCCTTTCTAATGAGATTATTTAGTCCCTGTTAATGAGTAGGATACATGGCTTTTAGAAGGTCCCCAGCTGCTAGAAGGTCCCCAGTTAACTAAAGCACAATGAGGAAACTTCCTCACCTCCCACCACCAGTATCTTGTACAGACTATCAGAAGCAAGCTTCTAGAGGCACACTTCTAGAGGGAATCTAGCAGTTCCAATTGAAACAGTTCCCACAGTGCTGCTGACCAAGAACCCACGATGGTGATCCCACAAGTGTCATTAAGTTTTTTTCCAGATTATTTAACATGTAAGTGTTGGAGTATCTCTGAATCCATGTGTCTGTTCATGAGGTTTCATGTATGTTAGGTGTCTATTGATATGGGGCCAAACTCTCTGGAACTTGACTTCAGTTCTCCAATAGTCTACTCAGCCATCTGTTTATTGCATTGCTTACTACACTAATATGGAATCCCACTAGGATTTGAGTAGGGATAGCTACCTGTTTGGAAAATATAAAAACAGAAAGATGTGGTAGAGGCAAACTAATGAGATCCTGAATACTTCCCTTTGTTCTCCTCCATCCCTCAGAGATTATCCTAATCAAAGAAGCTTCCTCGTGGGCTTGAGGATATCAAAGTTTAGTTAACCAACAGTGCTGTGATAGTCAAGTTCTGGGCCATTGTTCTTTAGAAAAGACCCCACATTTACACCACACCCCTTTGGACCAGTTCCTTTTGATCACCCTCAGATCATCTCCATTGTTTCCCCATTCCTATAGAGATTCCCAGAGAACCCTGCAGAAATGGGCCCCCAGAGTTGCTATAGAGTCTGCTGGCTCCTTTTAAGGAGGTTGGTGTATGGAATTTGATCACAGACCAAAACAAGTATTTCTCTTCCACCATCAGGGAAGACTTACAATCCCTATAGATATCTGTTGCTATAGCTCTGGCATTTTTTCCAGCTCTAGAAAATAAATATTTTTGTCCATTCTTCCCAAAGCTAGAGAAACTTGTCTGCTCTCCCCACCCAAGAAGGAGGCAAAAGAGAAGTGAAAGAAGCAAGTTGCAAGGTCCTGTGTACATTACCATCATGTTTGTCACAGTGCTGGGTGGAGAGATCTAGAGCCACAGAGCTCTCAGTTTTTCTGAGTGCTGTCCTGAGGAATTCTGATGTCTGGGGTGGGAGGGTTAGGGAGGGATGGGGAAAGGGAAGATGCCAACCTTTGTATGGAGATGATTTTATAACCTTGCACTTTTGTAACTGTGAAGAATTTTTCATAAATGTGCATTAATAATAAAGAGTGTATAGTTTAACAAATTTTCTAAAAGAGTTGTGAAGAGGAGGGAGAGAGAGGGAGGCGGAGAGAGAGAAAAAGGAACTAGGCAGAATCAAGAGGATGTGTGCCAAAATATACACACAAAAGGTCTATGGGGAGGGAGTAGATGGGAATAATTAGGAGATGTGCCAGCCATGGAGGGGCATGTGTGGGAGTAGAAGGAACACCACAGAAGCATATTTCTACCAGGCAAAAAGAATACGTGTGTGTCTGTATGCACACACCCCTATGTGTAGGCATATTTTGGTGCCTAAAATTATACAAAAAGAGCATATGTTTTATACATGTTGGTGTTTGCAGCTTGGGTCATCTATAAAACATGCCAAGGCAAGTGGGTGTGCCTGCCTAGATAGCATCACTAAGGAATGTGGGCCAGGGAGATGGCCCACTTCAGTCATGTGGGCAAAGGACATTAGCTCAGACATACAGGTAAACCATCTAAATGGATGGTGTGGGGGATAGATGAGGCCATCACTGGTATAATTTCAATCTCTGTTCTCATAGGTTAAAAAAGAAGGGAAGGGAATCTAAACCTCCTGAGTCTTGCAAGTGCATCCTATATACTATTGGAATTGAGATGGCAGTGTACCTTGGGAACAGAGACAGAAAAATGAGGAGCAAGTGTGCAGTGGCAGCCATTTTCTATTCCAGTACACTGAAGAGGAAGTGGCTCACTCTGGGTGGCTCAGTTGGTTG